TAATCTAGAGGGACCATACATTTAATTAGTTAGAAAAGCATTACAATTATTTTTAATGGACAAGATAATATTGATGTTAATATAAATAACTTGAAACAATTGTTTATAATTAGGTAATTTATATTTATTGTGAATTATTATTAGTTGGTATTAGCAATAACTATTATATAATATAATATGAAAAGTACATGATTACACTTAATATGATGTATTAATGTGAGAAGTAAAAACATATTAATGTTAAATTTTGTAACCGAAAATGGAAGGAAAAATGTTAGAGGTTTTATTAAATATGTTTTATTAAATGCTACATGCTAGCAATTATACATATATAGATGCTGAAACTAAATGACAACTCATAGAATATAAAACACACTTTTATGCTAAAAGACTAAAATGCCCTATATACTAATACCCATACTTTAAATGTCATCTCCATTTTTTAGTTTATTTACTCTCACTCCATTTGATTTTGGTCACTAAATTTCATTATACATGAAATACATAATTATATAATAAAATTTAAGCAGAACTATAATTATATATTTTAACTTCTTTAACGAAATAAATACATTTATTAGTGTACACTTTGTCAAATAAAAATTAATATTAATTTGAAATAAAATAAAATTTTACAAAAAAATTGAAGTGAAGTGAACAATTCAGTACTATATTGGCGCAAGATTATTTATATTATCATGCGAAAATGTAACGTAAATTAGAGCATATTTATCAGTTACCGCACAACTTCGAAGTGAGTTTCATCGTAGAGTAGAGTTGCTCTTAGACTTTTTGTTTTTATATTTTGCCTTATGAATATACAAAATTTTAAGGGGTGAATGGATATAGAAATTTTCACCAAAAAAAAATAAAATAAAAACAAGCATATACGACAAATATTTTTTAGACCATCTCTGCAGGTGTAGGGGCCTCATGCTTTAAGGAAAAATTGTTGTAAGTTATTGTTTCTCACTATAAGATGTAGATGTTATTATAAAATTTTAACACAGTTGGCCAGACATCACAAAAAAAATATCCATTACAAAATATGTTCAGAGCCCATAAATTGAGATAATTGGCACTTGTGATCAAACTATGCACGGCCAATAATAGGAAAGGGGCTGAGTTCATTGAAGTCAAACTAGACAGATTTTTAGTTTCAGCTGATTGGCTCCTTAGTAACCCTAATTCCCGAGTTATTAATGTTTCTATGGCATCCTCTGACCATAATATGCTTGTTTTGGAGTTTGATTGTACCAGGGAGCCTCTTAAGAGGAGATTTTTCTTTGAATCTAGATGGGCTGGGACTAAGGGTTATTCAGAGGTTGTAGGAAAGGCTTGGGAGATGCAGGTTGGGTCCCTGATTTGTTCCAAATTATGAACAAGATTAGAAATGTTAAAGCAACTCTTTTTATCTAGAAAGAAAAGCAGGGGCTAAATCCTGCTAAGCTCATTAATAGTTGCAAGGATAGGTTAGCAAAATTGGAGGCTGGGGGAGGGGATAGAAAATGGGATGAGTGGCATTTTTTTAAAAACCATTTGTGTGAGGCTTATCAACAGGAGGAAGTATACTGGAGGCAGAAATCTAGGGTTAGTTGGTTAAAAGCTGGGGATAGAAACACTAAATTCTTTCAAGCTACTGTGAATCATAGAAGAAA